CAGCTGGCACATTTTCATTTTTCTGGAAAATCTGTCAGGTGGAAATCCTGGAAAACTTCAAACGTTGTATTCTTCAGAATTAAATTACTACGAAGTAATAATAAATAAACAATAAATCATTTACTGTTACTCTCACTATAATAAAATAATTTATATTTTACAATAAAATTGTTAAAATAATTCATAGTTCAGTTAATTAAACAAAATACACTCTAATAAATTGTAAAAAATATTGTTTACACTCACGTCTTTCATTTATATTTTATTTTCATTCGTAGAAGGTTTTTTTCTAAAAAATATGCGTTTTTTAACCTTCTATCAACCAGATCACTTTTCAAATAAATTACATTGAAAAATATCGGGGTTATTTTGAATGTTTATAACTATAAAAATGACTATTTTTTAACATCATTTTTAACAACAATTTTGAAATAAATAATTGATTTTTGCATACATTTTTGAAGCTGACATCAAGAATCCATTTCACTTTTGTAAAATGTTCGAGGACCATACCTGGGCAAGAAATAATAAATAATTCTTCTCTCGGACAAACAATTAGCTTTTTACATAAACTATTAAGCCGATTCGGCTAAAATTTAGCACACTTATAGTAAAAATTCATTCAATATTGATAAAAAGCCCAGTATTTAGCTTAATTTTATACCGATTTTGATTATTATAAAAAACAAAATTGAAGGTCTTTTTATGCTCTAAAATATCCAGTTTACCAATCATTTGTGAATTTTATTTGAAAATTATACGAGCAAAATACTAAATTTTTGGTCATTCCCATTGTTTATAAAGAAAACAACGCATATCTGTCTGTATGTTTTTATGTATTTGTCATTAGAAAGACCCCTTCCTCTTCCATTTAAAACTTTCAAATATCTGCTAAATTTTTTTTCATGTTAATTGTAATTTTGATCTCATTGCATTCATCCCCCTATTTCTTAGAAACTAACCATAAGATTGCTTTAGTGCCGTGAGAACTTTACGGAAGGTAAGAAATATACTAAGTGACATATAAATCCGAACACTCAGTTTAAATGGTTTTATTTTAATAAAAGTTGGTGAATGTATTTATCTTACTGTAAATAACAAGTAAAAAAATTTTAAGCCTTATCAGTTGGACATTCCGGTTTTTATATTGCTTTTTTTTTAATTCACTAACGCTCTAAAAATAAATATTTCAGCCGCAATAAAGAATCAACGTTGGCGGATTTTGGTTCTTGACATCCTTTACGATCGGTTAGTTTTTTGTTGAAAGACATGTTCATCACACTGTTGGAGTTATGGTTTGGGGTGCTATGCTTATGGTTCCAGGTCACCTTTAATCTTCATCAGAGGTAACATGAACGCGCAGCGTTATATCCACGAAGTTCTAGAACCCCTATCTTGACACCCTGGCAGATCCAACTTTCCAACAAGATAATGCCCGACCACATGTTGCAAGAGTCACAATAGTCTTCTTTCAACATAATGATGTCATATTGTTACCATGGCCACCAAGATCTCCCGACTTATCCCCAATTGAGCACGTATGGGATATGATGGGTAGGAGATTGCTCAATTTGCAACGTCCTCCTCAGACTCTAGAAGCACTTCGAGAGGAGTTGGTGGTTGCCTGGAATGAGATACCACAGGAGGACATTGACCACCTGATCAGAAGCATGCCTAGGCGCGTTGGAGAATGCGTAGCACATCAGGGTGCATCCACACATTATTAAAGGTCAAAGGGCTTTAAAGCAGTGCAATCATTTTGAAATTGTTATCGTTTATTTATTATGCTTCATTGAGTACTTATACAAAATTTTATTAAAATAAAACCATTTAGACTGGGTGTTCGGATTTATATGTCACTTAGTATATATCATACTGAATTCTTAGACAAATCGATCTGGACCCAGTTTTGAGCAGAGTCCTTGAAAAAATATCCGAAAGCTATTCCCCGTAAGATTTCTGCGACGTCTTTTATTTGGCAATCATTCCTATCATCAGTTTTTATTTTCCTATAATATAAATCTCAACTGATCCGACCATTAAATCCAGCATCGCCTTTCCACGCAAACTGTAGCAATTATTTTGTCCTAGGAACAAGCGCTTCCCATTGTACTATCCCGTAACAGCTCGTTACTAGATTCTAGCTGAAAACGGATCCCACCGATAATGGTGTATCGCTCAACTAGGCAACGTTCTGCCAAGCCCGTCCGATGAATTTGCGTAAAATGTCCAACGCCGTGCAGGATTACCGTCATCGGTTCACTAATGGACAATAATTGATGTTATACAACATCAATAATGCACTACACACAATCTCTTTTGAGGTACACCACAAAATGTGAGGTGAAACCGTAGGCATTTATTATTTAATATGATGATACAGAAACCTTGCAGCTATTCAACGACAAAACGATTTATATACTAAGTGACATATAAATCCGAACACCCAGTTTAAACGGTTTTATTTTAATAAAATTTTGTATAAGTACTTAATGAAGCATAATAAGTAAATGATAAAAATTTCAAAACGATTGCACTGCTTTAAAGCCCTTTGACCTTTAATAATGTGTGGATGCACCCTGATGTGCTACGCATTCTCCAACGCGCCTAGGCATGCTTCTGATCAGGTGGTCAATGTCCTCCTGTGGTATCTCATTCCGGGCAACCACCAACTCCTCTCGAAGTGCTTCTAGAGTCGGGAGACTTGGTGGCCATGGTAACAATGTGACATCATTATGTTGAAAAAAGTCTATTGTGACTCTTGCAACATGTGGTCGGGCATTATCTTGTTGGAAAGTTGGATCTGCCAGGGTGTCAAGATAGGGTGAAAGATGGGGTTCTAGAACTTCGTGGATATAACGCTGCGCGTTCATGTTACCTCTGATGAAGATTAAAGGTGACCTGGAACCATAAGCTATAGCACCCCAAACCATAACTCCAACAGTGTGATGAACATGTCTTTCAACAAAAAACTGTGGATTCCTCCTTTCACCACGTCGCCTTCGAACCCTGGCACGACCATCGTGCATGCCTAAACAAAATCGAGACTCGTCACTAAAGACAATACTGTTCCATTCCTGATCCCAGAGTGACCGTTGTCTGCACCACTCAAGGCGATTACGTCGGTGTTCTCGAGTTAAAGGGAGGACCCAGTGTGGCCGGTATGAAAACAAGCCAAAACTTCTCATTCGTCGGTAAACACTTCGCATGCCAATAGGTCTTCCGTGTTCTGCAAACCATTCATTTGCAATGGACCTGGTAGTGGAGAAACGGTCCCTTGAGGCCAATAATCTTAGGCGACGATCTTCACGGTCTGTTGTTCTACGGCGGCGTCCAGTGCCCCTTGCTCTTTGCGTACGGCCTTCTCGAAGCCATGTCTGACAACACCTAACCACAGTGTCTACGCTTCTTTGCACTCTAACTGCAATTGCCCGAAAAGAAAGTCCAGCTTCCCGAAGTCCCACTATACGGCCCCTATCAAACTCACTAAGTTGACGAAATCGTACAGGTCTCCGTACTCTAGGCATCGTAACCGATCGTAAAGGATGTCAAGAACCAAAATCCGCCAACGTTGATTCTTTACTGCGGCTGAAATATTCATTTTTAGAGCGTTAGTGAATTAAAAAAAAGCAGTATAAAAACCGGAATGTCCAACTGATAAGGCTGAAAATTTTTTCACTTGTTATTTACAGTAAGATAAATACATTCACCAACTTTTATTGTCACTTAGTATATCTTTAGTATTGCTACATGACGCATTGATATACTCGCACATATACAACAGACATACACCGCCAAACCGACATAAACGAGAAACACGGACTTGTGGGATGCAGATATCTATAACAGTTTAGAGTTTAATAATTCCATCGTTTCGGTAGTCGTAGATTTTGAAAATTGATTCAGAGGTGACGGAAATAAAATCGCTGGGAAATACTGTTACCTATCAGAGATTCCTACACATTTTCGTACTTTATTTGGGGGGATGAAAAATCTAGGTTGGAAGCTGTATGCGGTAAATAGTTGCAAATTGTCGCATATTTGGTGTCAGTGAAAGACCTATGATTAAGAGGATGCTGATCTCAGTCATACTATACACCTGTTAGACATAATGAGTGTCACATATTTCTCCCACATCTGCCATGGAAACACAAGTATGATATATTTGGTTTATACAATTTGCAATGCAGCGGTCGAAGATTCATCGGACCTAAGTGAACCTACCTAATCACGATTCAGTTCCGCCTTTTGAAACGATTTCATCAACCCATTTTCTTCGAAGCATCCAACTAAGGCGTCACTTGACGCCATTTTTTAACGCACGACCTATTATAATTACTACTTACAGTCTTGAGCATTGATCACAAAAAAATACCTGCTCCTGGTATATACGCAAAGTGTGAGAAACTTCGTACCCAATCTTCTGGGGAAGTAACCATACAAGAGATAACTTCAGTAAGTACTTACAGAAACGTTAGCAGCTCTTCCGAGGACGAACCAAGCATTTTCGGTCATTTTTCTTTAACATCTCCCGAAATTGCGTCAGAAAAGTCACATTTTTGTCAAGATATATCAACTTTCAACCTGGCCTATACATAGGGTGTTTATCCGATATGACTAGACGAAAAAAGAAGGATGAAGAAGAGCAACAAGAAGATAAAGATGAAAGTTATTTATTCAAGAATAATGCAAATACTACTATAGAAGCTATTAGAAACAAAGAATGAAATTATTTTAGATAAAGAGAGGTATATCAATCAATTAGTTAATGAGAACAGACATTTACAGGAGCATTATGAATTGATCACTAACAGTATTGTGGATAAAGAAACCATAATCACTTCTTTGGGGAAAATAAATGAAAGAGTTGAAAAAATAGAAGCTACTACCTCATACACCCTTTGTAATGATGTAATTAAATCATATAGTGGGGCTGTAAAAGAGTCAAAAAAAGCAGAGATGAGAAGATTGTAGATAAAATTAATAATACACAAAAGTTGATGATAAAAAATACGGACAAATCAAACTCTAATGTGTTGGAAGATTTGAAGAAGAGCATTGATCCAGCTAAGTCAAATATCTGTGTGAACTCTGTGAGGAGGGTGAATAATGGCATAATTCTTAGCTGCGAAAATGAAGCATCATTGTCCAAGCTGATGGCGAGTATACAGGGAGAACTCGGTGCGAACTTCACTGTCAATGAGATCAAGAAATATCGCCCACGCATGGTGATAAATAATGTAGAATGCGCCTACACAAAATCTGAGGGATTAATCGAGAAGATCTTGTCCCAGAGTGGTATTTTTAGTAGTGATGATATAAAAACTGTAACCACTTTCAGATGTTCCGAATCTACTTTAAATGTTGTCATTGAGGTTAGCCCAAAATTTGGAAAAACGTTGCTAGATAGAGGTCGTATATACATGGGTTGACAAAGATGTCCTGTGCGGGATTATGTACGAGTTATACGCTGCTATAAATATTCAGGTTTTGGCCACATGGAAAAAAATTGCATACATTCTGAAGTATCATGTCCTTTATGTGCTGGAGATCATTTGGAAAAAAATTGTAAATCTGCTTTTAAGAATTTTCAAACTGTATGAATCACAATTCTAAATTCAACACTCAATTTGATACTAGTCTTTCTTCTAAAGACTTAGATTGTCCAACTTAAAAAACATGTTACATACTTGAAATCTAGAATTGAATATGAATAGTGATAAATTCAAGGTTTTAAAAGTTGGTCATATAAACTGCAGATCAGTTTTATCAGGATTTCATGAATTTAGTACACTGGTTCAAAAGAACAACCTTGATATTGTTGGAATATCGGAAATTTGTTCTGGTGTACCACAGGGATCAGTCTTAGGACCGCTATTATTTTCATTATATATCTCAGATTTAGAAACAGAGGTAAAATCATGCAGCATACAATTTTTTGCAGATGATACTCAAATTTTCTATTCATTTAGGAGTAATGACTTGGAAACGGCAAATAATAAAATTAATCAAGATCTTGCCCAAATTCAAAAGTTCAGTAGTAGTCATAATCTTCGTTTGAACCCTTTGAAGACAAATATGTTGGTATACGCAAATAGAACAAAAACGAATACCTTAAAAAAGGACATAGACATACATTTAAAAGGTAATAAATTAATTCCTGTGGATCATTCGAAAAACCTAGGTATTATAATGGATCATGACTTAAAATTTGTTGCGCACGTGAACTATCTAATTACTCAGTGCTACGCTATTCTCAGAGTTTTATCTGCAAATAAGGCTATATTACATAAATCTGCGAGAAAGCAATTGTGTGAATTTTCAAAGATATCGTATTGCTTAGTGATTTACTATCCCTATTTAGATATTATAACAAGAAATCGTATTCTAAGTATTATGAATACATGTTGCAGGCTTGTAAATGATCTCAGAAAATATGATCATATATCGAATGCCATTAATGAACTCAAATGGACGAAAATTGATAAAATGTATAAGTACCAGCTTCTAAATCTGACTCATAAGGTTCTTTATTCAAAAACACCGTCATATTTAGTAATCAAATTCATTCGTAGAGGGAATATGCATCGTATTAATATTAGATATAGAGAGACTTTTTCAATTCCACGCCACAGCACGACTCTATTTCAGAATTCATACATTTACAATGCGATCAAATCATATAATTCTTTAGACCGCAGTTTAAAAGAAACCAATCCATTATCCAAATTCAAGAAAAAAGTGAAAGAAGTTCTTCTTGATCAGCAGCGAAATCGGTTGTAACCCATAAGTGTCCTCATATTTTCCTTATGTATTTACTTGGATTATTCGTTATTGTATACAGGTGCCTATTAATTTTCAATAATTTTTTTTTTACATCTCGTATTGTTAAGGGGGTTAGATGGTAGAATAGATATATAATCTAAATCTCGCCTCCTGTAAGAATATTACAAATAAAAGACGTTAATTATTATTATTATTATTATTTTTGAAATGTGGTTGTGCGATCCCTTGCAGGAAAATTACCAATGCATAGAGTAATACCGCTACTAACGTCGCACTTTTTAATCGCCATCACCTTGATACGTCACTCTAGACTCGAATTCATAAACCCCCATCAATTATCGTTATTTATAGGAGCAAATACATATCCGTCCCCGTTGATCGATCGTCTGTGTACCTTAAATATCTGGAACAGTAATACCCATTGTTCGTACTTTTCCATGCTTTTCCGTTTGGCTTGCCCCATTTCCACCCTTATTCGTATGCCAGTCAGGTAAGGGTCGGCATCACGGAAGATTCTCATTGACGTCAAGTTAACCGAGGAAGTAATGAAATGGAGATGCCTGTTATAATATTCTTGAATGCAAAGATATTCAGAGTTAAGGAAGGAGACATAAGAGTGTACTTTACGGGTGGGAGAGTGTTCTTTGTCCTTTAATTCTCCTTAATCAATGGAATCTTGGGATGCTTGGTCTACTAAATGAACGAATTTATGCTCCTTTTCACTGGTTTGGAAAAGGGGTCGAATTTAATTGAAAAACAAACAGTAATCACAACGTATCTACGAAAAGTTCAAAATACAGGGTGACTTTGAAGTTGAGTCATTAATTTTCAGATAATGAAGGAAGATAAACCAAAATATGTATGAAAAAAAATAAAAAAAAATTAAAAAAAATTTTTTACCTTGTTTTATAAAGTATCCTCCCGACAAGTATTTCAGTGCGGACCTGTATTTGATCGTGAGGTCTTGGAGCACCGGCATGCCCTCCCCTGTGAGGTCTTAAGTCACCTGATTCACGAGCCCGTTGTACTACATTAACAAAGGCACGAGGGGTTGGTTGCACTCGATTGGGAAACCGATCCGCATAAATATGTGCCATTTTTTATTTCGTTTGAGCCACGCAGCAAACACCACTATTCACTCACGCGTTACCGACTGACACATTGACTGAATAAAAACATCGTGATCAGCGTTTCAAATTCTTTCACTTTTTTGTTTCCGATGCGATGAACCGATGATCCGTTGTCGCCAAACACGAGCACATAATATTATTATTGAGACAGGGCGGTACTCAAACTTCTAAAGGGCTATAACTTTGTTACTTTAATTTTACCACAAAAATGTTAAAGGAAAAAAACATTACTTTTGATCAGATCTACTCACTGTTAAAATAAATGACTCAACTTCGAAGTCACCCTGTAGAGCAAAATTTTAATTGAACAGGAAACAGTTTTACTTATTTAGATTCATAAAGTATACAAGATAGTATTATTTTTACAGAGTGTCTCAAATTCGACCCTCATCATTGGTATTTCGAAAACTGTAGGGGATGCAGAGGTTTAACTGGGGAAAAAATGCGTATTTAGGTAATTAACAAAATGCCATTAAAAAGTTTCGAAATTCGAAGTACTTCCGGAAAGAACCGGCAAAAATCGAATTTTCCCAAAATCGGTTTACTTTTTCCTGACTCTATTTCTAGTGGGATTTTAAAATAAATTGCACATTAACATTGCTACTTTTTTTGAACTACAAGATGGCATAACTAGAATTTCAATATGACGTTTCGACACTTGTCATCCAGCATCAACTTTATTTTTTCTCATGGACGCCATATTGGATTTTTATATAGATGAATAGTTTTTAATTCTGATTCTAAAAATGTATAAATACGTCATACCTTGACATTGTCAAACCTTAGTTATTTAAAAAAAAATCAGAATTTCCTAGGTAGGCCTTGAAATTATCAGATAGTCATTTGTTTCTAATACCAGATCTACCCCAAAATCACTTTTACCTTTTCCTGACCTAATTTGTGACAGGATATAAATTGCACGTTGTTATTGTTACTTATTGTTCTCCTCTACGCGATGCAAATTTTATTGACGGTAATAATAATAAATAAACAGAGGTCAATCGTAGCAGATTTTCAAAATGTTATCCATTATTTTGTAGGCAAAAAGCCAGGCTCTTCTCTGTACATTGTTCAATGCATGATTTATTTAACTTCTTCTCAGTCTTCCAAACTCTATTGCCACCTAAAATTAGAGGCCCAGTCTGGTACACGAAACAAATGAAATCTGATAATTTCAAGGCCCACCTAGAAACTTCTGTTCTATTATGTTGTAGAGGACAAAAAGTGGTAATGGGATAAATCTTGTATGCGAAATAAATGACTATATGATAATTTGACGGCCTATCTAGGGGATTCTGCTTTTTCAGAATTAAAAACTTTGTTCATCTGTGCAAAAATCCAATATGACGTTCATAAGAAAAAGTAAAGTTGATGCTGGACGACAAGAGACGAAACGATATATTGATATTTTAATAAAGCTATCGTGTAGAGGAGAACAAGTGGCAATGTTCATATGTAATTTATTTTGAAATCCCACTACAAATAAAGTCAGGAAAAAATTGAAACGAATTTCGGAAAATTCGTTTTTTTTTCATCTCTCTCCAGAAGTAATAATAAAGTTTATTGTGCAAAATATAAGCAGATAACTAGAAATTACATATTTCAGAACAATAAACATGGTAGAAAACCCGCAGAAAGCTAGCCTAGTACGCGGGTATGCATTAGCTTATGAATAATTACGTACTAATTAAACTAGAAATAAAAAGATACACGTGATTTTCTAAGAAAAGAACAATAACAACATTAAATAGGATTTTAAAATACACTATCTGACAAAGTGAGAGTATGGATGGCTTCATTTAATTATAGATCCTTTTTAAGGTGAAATGTCTCATTTAGGGCCAATTTCAACAACAACAGTCCGTTATTCTCCACCTATAGGGTAACAGACCGACAAATACAACGAATGAGCTTCATGTTCCAATCAATAAATTTTAGCAACCAATAGCTATGAAATGTTGAAAACAAAATACTGTCAAAGTATGAGATGACAGCTTGTCATTGAAACATCACCAGCTTATTGAACATTAAGAAATTACATATAATTCAGTCAAAATTTAAAGAAATGCTGGAATTTTGGATAAAATTCATGTTTTAACTACTATTGTTGATTTTTCATTCATGTTTATATTATTTTCTTCAATTGATATGTGATACTGGGCGTTTTTTCCTATAAACCTCTTGCAGATAGCCATTAAGCACCTACTTGATGACAAGTTGAATATTTTTCGTTGTTCAAGAACTGAACAAACATCCACACTATATTCACAGCGATTAAGAAATTCCCAAATATATGCCTTAAAGCTACCAGCAAGCCTAAAACCTGCAAAAAAAACTAGAAATTTGCCATAATTTTATTTTTTCACGAGTACACATTCTAGGTTATATTTATATTAGACATTATTTGAATACAGCTGATTATTGCATTTCAAGGAGTGACACATGTGTGGCTTCTGTCAACTCTTGGTACCAGTCACAAAACATACTCTGAAGGTTTAATTCCATGCTATTCAATG